GCGGCTCGTGAGGGAGCTTGGAGCTCTTCGGGGTCACCTGGAGCCGCTCCCTGGCTTCAAAGCGGAGCCCCAGAACGCAGCCAGCTACTTCCTTGTCTCTGAGTGACCCTGCGGATGGCCGCAGTATGGGCTCCTTGCAGCTGTGTCCCCGGAGGAGCCCGAGACTCGGACCGAGGCACGCTCGCCCCCGCCGGCCGCTTCACCACCGCCGTTTCCCAGGGTCGTTCGAAGTCAGCTGAGGAGCACACTCACTCACAGGACGAAGGCCGCACTCGGCTCCACTTGGCGGAAACGGGAGAAGGGACTGTGGCTGGCGTCTGCAAGCCCCTGTAGGGGTGTAGCGAGACTCGTCTCCTTGCACTACACAAAGTAGCGGTTCTTCCCTGAGGCAGGGGGCTGGGCAGAGACAGCTTTCCCGCAAGCAGGACGACTGCAGATTGAGCCTTACAGTAGCACCCAGGTAGGTCTGCAGCCAGTGGGCCCTGTCTCTGAGCTGGGAGCCCTGGCCAGTGTTAAGTGGGCATGCTCACAGCACCAGGGAAGGTTGGAGTCATGGGACCGCCATCTGTAAGCTCCAGCCCGGCCCTGCGTGAAGCAGTTTTGCTTATCACTAGCTCCAGGTGGGTGCCCCGTGAGTTCTTCACCTGTGGCCCAGCGTCTGCTATCAGCTGTTGAGGGGCTTTCCTTATGCGTCTGCAGTTGGTCTGCACAAACCTGAACTTAGGCAGTTACCTGGAGCTGCCTCCAAAAACTGTGACTGTATCTCACTGGAGGAGCCCTGCTGGCATAGTGGTTACTCGTTGGGCTGCTAACAACAAGGTCAGCAGTTCAAAACCAACTGCTCCTCGGGAGAAAGATAAGGGCTTTCCACTCCCAGGAAGAGTTGCAGCCTGGCCCACCCACAGGGACAATTAGACTCTGTCCGGTGGGGTCATTGTGAGTTGGTAGCCGTGAGGCATTTCACTGGTGCTCCTCTTTGCTAGACTCTCCTGCAGCCTGCTTTGGTCATGAATATAGGAGGGGGTGCAAGGGGTTCAGTGATAAGGTCTGTTATCTTTTTTTGTTTTTTTCACATGAGCTTTTAAAATGCTAGTATCTCCTCCACTCCACCCCATCGTGTTAGCCGTATGAGGAGAGCACCTGCACTCAGTGGTCATACCCTGTATGTGACCGCTACTTGTCCTGCCTGGGCAGTCACTTTACTCCCCAGTCCAGGCTCCTGGCTACTTCTGGCTGATTCTTCTCATAATCCAGTCCACTTGGGACAGGAAGAGTTAGCTCCTTTTCTGCAGCTGGTGTCTAGTGTATCCTGAATGCCAGGGAGCTAGCTCACTTACCTTTCTGGTCCCTGGTAAGCGACAGGTACTTTCTGAAGTTGGGATTTTTGTCTGTTAGCTATTTATTCACCCTTCAGCCCAGCAGCCTGCCAAGTGAAGACAGGACGCTGGAGGCACAGTACACCCGCACTCAGGGCAGGTTTGAGATCTTGGAGGAACAAAGGCCAGAGGTTTAGATCTAGGTTTAAGTCCTACCGAGAGCCCCCCCACCCACCCCCACACACACACACACACACACCTCCCCGCCCGGTGGTTGTGAGAAGCTCCTGCTGGGGGGACAGAGGTGCCTCCTCCTAGCACCCTACATCAAGGACATGCCCAGCCAGGGGTCCGTGGAGCAGGTCTCAGACCAGGACACGGGTGCCCAGAGAGACTGTGACAGGCAGGTGGATAGTTGGCTTCTGGGAGGCGGCCAGCCATGTGCACAGCCGGGGATTTGAAGTCCAACCACTCTCCCAGGGCAAGACATGGTGCTCTTCCTCAGAGCCCCTAAGGCTGCCGAGGACCACCCATGCATGGCAGTTGTCACTGTGGCCATTGCCCTCTATATCCACACGGACTAGGTGGTAGCTCTGAGCGCAGCCCTTTCATGCTCATCTTAGGATACAGGGGAGTCAGAACCCCCCACTCAGCCACATCATTGGCCAGCCCGCTCCCCAACCCCCCCACCCCAGATTTCCCACACAAATGCTGCAGTACGCAGCTGTGTAGCAGAGAGACAAGCAGTGTACCGAAGGCACCCAGTCAGACCTCAGGATGTTCCAGAACTCTCCAAAGGAAGGCTCCCATGTCACTCCTGTTCCGGGGACCTTCTTAGGTCTTGGGGTCCAAGACTCAGACTCCTGGTGTTTGCAGTCGGCATACAGGATGTGAGCCGGTGATAGTGTCTGTGCTGGGTACCGAAGGGCTGAGGTTGGGGTCAGAGGTGAGGAAAGAGCAGGTTGGGGTGGAGGGTGGGTGAGCTGGCCCGGGTGCATGGGTTACGTGGAACCGGAATAGCCTTAAGTCAATGCTGTGCCACCCTCCACTTGCCCATTCTGTGGCCTCGGTTTCCCCTACTCTGAAATGGAACCCTATGGGGGAAATGAGGGGTGTCCGGTGCCTGGCATAGAGCTGTCTCGAAACTGGCAGTAGCTGGTTGTGTTATGGAAGGCATCTGGCCTTGGGCGCCTCCTGGCCATCCTGGAGTGCATGTCCCGCCCCAGGTGCCCCAAAACCCAGCAGGAGAGCTAGTGAGGGCACCATGCCCAGCCCCCCATCATTGCGTCTCAGTCTCCCTTGTTGTGACCCCAAGGAGCGCATGCCCCCTCAGGCCTGTGTGGTTATCAAGCTTGGGAAGCAGTCAACTGGCTAGGGTTTGCATTCCAGCCAACCAGCCTAGGCTGCATGCCCTCTCCACACGCCTTAACAAGCAAGCAGCACGTGCCTGCACTGCATTTGAGGCAGGACACTCTGTTTTTTTCATTAAGACTTTTAATCTTTTGAACCCACAGTGCACCCGTCTACCCCTGGGCCTCAGAAAAGCCTGCTGCCAGGCCTTCCCTGAATAGGGGTGGTCCCGGGGCAACAAACTTTTGTCTAAGAGACTCATGGACGCCTCACCCTTGCCCCTCACCGCTGCTCACCACGGACTCGCAGCACCAACACCCCATTCTCACTGCTGCACCTGTAGCTCTTAAACCACTGGCCCTCAATTTCCCATCCCCCTTGCTGCCAC